TTTGCAGCTAAACCTGCGGAAATACGCATAACGTCTCCGTATATAGAGTCTACGCGTAAACCATATACCCTTGATGAAGCTTCTAGCGAAGGACAAGCAACCTTAATTATGTTCAAAGTTTTAAACAGAAACAATATTTAACCCACATAAGTATACTTACCCTAAAGTTGTTCAAAAAGTTTTGATGACGCTCAAGCAAAACAGTCAATGTATCAATAACTGATAAGGACCATGCATTATCACGACTTATTTTATTGTCTTTATAAATTTCCAAACATTTTTCTAGATTTTGGTTTTCATCCATCAAAATTTGCCTTAATAAAGTACGGCGACGTGCCAAACGTCGCTCTTCTTCATCATCATTTGGTGGAAGTTCTGTTACGTTTTCAGTATAAAGCCTGGCATCAGAGAATCGAATCGATTTCCGAACACTTGTAGGTAACATGGTTTTGCTAAACAAATAAATATTTCGTGATATTAATATGATTTTTATATTGCTGGCAATTGCTATAAACTTAAAGCAACTATTTTAACACTACATCAATGATTGCCAACACAAAACGAATTATAAATATTTATATGAAATGCCGAGCGCAATTAATTTTGATTATTTGCGTTTGTTTTGCTTGTTAATTTCGACAGCGTCACTTGTCAGTTTTGCTTTTGTTCTCCTGTACGGATTTTCTGACACTCAATTTACAATAAATATTTAAGGCACTAAATAGCTGTGAAATTTTTAATATCACTCAACGAATTGTTTATAAATTTGTTAATAGTTACCATTAAATTTCTTCGAAGCTATCTGTATTTGCAATGCATTCGCCTTTTACATCGTTTTCTTATTTCAAATAAGAGCGTCCGTATAGTACGTTCAGTGATGTATGAAGTAAATTTTAAGCATTGAAATTTAAAGAAATTGACAATTAAGAATAAAACAATTATGATATAAAATTTTTCTATTACAATAATAAATATATGTATATAATTATATTTATAGGCGAATTTTTTAATAATTTAAAAACAGTGCACATATATATAAATGTTTTGTCTGTACGTATTATATTTTCAACGTATGTATAAATATGTACATTTTCTTAATACTATATTTATATAAAAAGAAAACTGTATGTCAATACTGACATTAAAAACATAAAGCAAAACCTACTTTGTAATTAAGTGCAATAAATAAATAAATCTTTACATAAGTACAGTGCAAAAAATCCCTAGAAAATTTCAATTTACTTTACCTCAAATTACTCGAACTCGCACACGGCCTTATATACAAAATCTAATAGTTGTTAATTTACTAGTCTGAGCGTGATACTAATAGTCTATTTTAATATGTTTGCACTGGCATTACATACGCAGGTAATGGTGCCTGCAAAAGTTCGTTCGTTCGTAAGCGTTCGCTTTAGTGTGGATGCACCTTTAGGCTGCGGTTACATTGCATGCGAATTTTGTCTTGCGTGTTCGTACATATGTTTTTTCATGAGAACACATTGCATGTTGCGTTTACATTGTTTACGAATTGACAGCTCTATTTTGTTTGTTTTGAAAACAAAATGGATAGTGAAGATGAAATATATTTAGTGGAAAATTCGTTATCAAGTTATTTATTAATTTCAAATAACAAAGGATGAATTTGGGAGCATGATTTTTATTCTTCAAGGTAAAGAAATGGAGAGTTTGTATATTTTTCAAACAAAGCAATTAGCAAATCGCAAAATTCACATGCAATGTAACTGCAGCCTTAGGTCAGCGGCTAGCAGATGTAACTTTCTCACTTCATTTTTTAGAACAATTTTTCCCACTTTTAACAAACAATTCAAGTAACTAAATATCAAAAGTGAGAAAATCGTTCGACAAAACTAAGTGAGAAAGTTACATAAACGAATCACAGGTAACTTACTCGTGATTCCTTGAATCTCAAATAAATTAACTGGTCTAATGAAGCCAGTGTGAAATCGTATTACACATATTTTATAATTTATACACCAAAATGTTCTACAATATATATATTTTCTACACCTTGTTTCAAAGTGTATAGCAAAGCGTATACTTGATCGGCATACTTGATGTGCATACATGTAGCATCGTCATGCTATACTTTAAAAAAATGATGTAATTTTATTTGAAATTCGGATTTGCTGCTATCCGAATGCAGCAAAGAGCACTGTAAATACTTCAAGTGACATGTCCAGAGAATACCAAAGGCATTCTTTGGTTATTAGTGTTAAGAAGCATAATTTAACAAAATTCGGGGTATTCAGGCAACTGATTAGTTGCTTAGTAGTTGATTACAACAAAAATTTGAACACAAAAATGAAACTAAGCAGAGAATCAACTATTTCGGTGATTCTCAGATTAGTACAAATTTGATGAATAGTGCTGCCAGTACCAAGTATCGTAATAATAACTTAAAATGAACTTTAGTATAGAAATTTGTTTGTTAGCTGTCTCTCTCAGCTGTTTGAATTGTGTGTAAACAATTTTGCAAACACAAGTATGTTTCACTTTTGCTGTTGATGCGAGTGCTGCCAAGGCATTTACACACAAGAAACTAATCACATTACGCATTTTGGGTCGTTCAAGCAACTGATTAACATCAAAATGCTAAATTTTTTTTATATGAAGTTTTTGAATCAACTAAGCAACTAATCAGTTGCCTGAATACCCCTATTTTTAAAAAGCTGCTTAATCATAAAAAGCGTATAGCATAAAGCAACAAGCAAATAATCAACAGCAACAACTTGTGATTAGCCATATGAATACGCAATTATTAAACTGAGTGATGTTTAAATAATTTGACATATGCAAATATATTAATTTAATTAAATTTAATTATTTGAAAACGAATATCACTAGTCAGTACATTAAAGTATCATCGGTATTTAAAAAAGCTGAAAAAAGCAAATCTAATAATTGTAAAATTGCTAATAATTGTCTATCAGTCCAGCTTGCTGGTTAATGTTATTAATGTTAAATGGTATGCAAGATATTAAAAATCTTTATTATTATGAGTATGTGAGCTATATGAGTTGAATTGTAATAAAAATTAATATACGGTTGTATATCAAACAAAATGAACAGAAAATCAGAGTAAAAAAGAGCTAAATGCGTCTTCATACCTATAACCAAAGAATACTTTACAAGAACGGCAACTCTATTGTGAACTAAAATTTGTTTTTTCGCATAACAACAATTGGACGTGAAGCTCTTGAAGACGTTAGTGAAAAGTGCACTAACACCATCGGAGATCATTAAAATTTTTCACCTTTATCCAATTCTTCAGATACTTTTGAGAATGAAATATTTTGAAAAGTTTACCATGATGAGCGTAAGAATGAGTGTGGTTTTGTTTTTTGGTTTTGATTTGATGAGAGAAATATAAAATTTCGTTGCGCCAAAGTGCAAAAATATAATGCGCAAGTACTTAAAAAAAGTGTGTACTTAATATATGAAGTAGTAGTATATTTTGCTCTTATAGGTCGTGTGTGAGCTTAAGTAATTTGAGGTAAAGTAAATTTAAATTTCTTAGGGATTTTTGTACTGCACTTATGTAAATATTAATTTATTTATTTATTTATTTATTGCATTTATTTAATATTTTTGGTTAAAAGTTATCAAATTTATTTATTTAATTATTAAACATCTTATAAAATTTTTACAATGGTAACACCTAATTTATCTAATTTTTATCTTATTTACCTTACTCGAAATTCTGGTAAATACCAACATTCGCTACTATACTGACATAATTTACTATTTCCTTCAATTTGCCATCAATTTATTTCAACTCGCACATGCTTTAAATAAATGAAAATTGGTATTAGGTTGTTGTAAAATGTTTATCATTCACAATAAAAACAATATGAAATGCATATTTTTATTAAAATGTGAAGGTTTGACTATAATAACAAACTTTGTGATACTTTAATTTTGTCAGTTATCATAAGGAGAAATACTTATTTACAATATGTTTAGTACTAGAATAAATAAGAAGTTAAAAATATGAATTTCTTTAACAAGTTTTTAATTCTGCTCTTTCCAAGTACTCATTGGTAATTTTGGTAAACGATTTCACAATAGTCTGAAATTGTGACTACTGTATATAAATCAATTTTGAGTGCTTAAACTGACATTTTATGTTCGTTTCGAAACTGTAAAGACCCAAAACTGTTGGAGAAGTTTATGTTATGCTGTTTGCAGTCCATAATACAAATATGGAACAAGTTATAGAGGATTGAAAAGCAGAACAAAACGATTTAGGTGTAAAACTATCATAAACTGTTAGGTTTAACACTTTTATATCAGTCATTAAAAGACTTAAGATAATGTTTATCAGTTTATATGTTTATTAAACCCAATCAAAATGGGTTTTTGCATACAATGCACTATTTGCGCAACATTTTAGATTCACACGAATTTCAAAAACGTTTCCATTGGCCCGTACTAAATAGAGGCCGCCTTCCGCACAACTACTGTCGAGTACCTTAAACACGTACATAAGAAAGATAACTTGAATTGGCAGAATATAAAATTGTATCTTGTCGTTCTCGTAGGTGAGTAACTGATTATATCATTTGTTTTATATTATGATCATCACTAGGTGATATGAAGTATATAACGTTTATGCTGGATTTTGTTAGGTTTGTGATACAGCGGTTAACAAAGAACAGAAGAAGCAAGCTAGTGGCATTCCTATTGATCCGAAGTTCACGCAAAATGTTAATGTTCACTTTATGGTTCGTAAGAATATCTTCTGACCTCGATATTAGAACTGAAGAACTACAGGAAAGAATAAAATACACGAAATTAGAATTTAGGCTCATATCTGATGTGAGTAGCATTGATATAAACATTTTGTTAAACGACAATTTTTACATTAAATGTGAAATGGAAAATTGTAAACTCTATAAAGATGAATCTGCTAAGCGTGTCAATAACATTGCAATATTAAATGCTTTTAGGTCAAGAGGTAAAAAATGTCTTAAATTTCGAAACCATGGAGTCTAATTGCAAAAAAATAATTGTCACGAATTTGTCTAAGAAAAGTGAACAAAAGTTATTAATTAATATGGAGCAAACAGAAGGTATGACAAAGTATAGTTATGATTACTCTTATTTAAATGATAATTGAAATAAACCCTACAACGTTTTCGTTTCTTTCAATGAATAAAGTATAAGGTTATAAATAAATTTTAATTTTCACAAAAAAAAAATTACAGTTAAATTTATAATGCACAATAGTCCAATTGTGTGGCGATATTAGCAAAAACTCATATACCAAACCAAAAATATTATTGCAATTGTTTGATATATTCATTTAGGAGTGCAATTGCTTATATTAATATGGCGTTTACCCTGGCCTCAAATGACTGACTTGGGTCAAAAAACACAAATATGAAGCAAATGACTGATTTCTGTATACAAAATCTCATATGCGTAAATGAGTTCCAACGAGTTTCAAATGAGTTCCATATGCAAATGAATACATTGAACACACCCTAAATAAAAACTTTTCATGGCATTTTGACAGTTGGAGAAAGCTGTTTTTGACATATTTACAAAACAAGGTAAACAAATATTTGGTGGTTGCATTTCCTCGAAAATGGTGCATTTCTATTTGGAACTTCAACTTCCCAAAAAGTACTTAACGTACTTTGTAGCTTCAAATCAGTTTTCAGTTTATATTACAGGAAAAATATTGCAGAAAAACAACGAGAGACTGGCGAATATTGAGCAAAGAAAATTTGAGATGCTGTGAGAAATTTTAAAAAAGTAAAAAATATTCATTTTATGACATATAAGAAAATGTAACGATTATAATTTTTTTCAGATTGAAATATTAATACATTTTATTTATTTATTTATAAATTTATTTATTTTATTATATATTATTATTATTAGGATAAATTAGGTTAAAAGTTTTAATAATATAGTCTTAAGTTAGAATATAGTTAAGTTAGAATTAAATATTTATTTATATGTGATTTTAAAACTACTTTAAGATAGAATTAAGTGTATATTTATAAATCATCATTTTAAGAATTTAGTAAGAATTAAGATCTTTGTTGTAATATTAATGAAATAAATTAATGAATAATAAATAATATACATAAAACCTTTCAATCTAAGTTATTTTTTGTTTGTAATTCATTACAAATTGAATCTCTTACGATTCTTGATTTAAAAAGGATCTGGAACTCTAAGTCATTTTCATTTGCAATATTGTGCAAAACGCAACTTGCCCTAATAAAGTGACACAGTTTTTCAACTCCTTTCAATTTACAGTAGTACAGCTGTCTAAAACGTTGTTTTAAAATGCCAAATGCATTTTCTATTAGTATTTGACCTGATTCCAATTTCCTATTAAAATTCTTTTGTGCACGAGTAAGTTCTGTGCAGGGGTATGCGGAATCAGCCAGCAGATAATATTCTGTAAATATAAGAGATTTTATAAATCTCATTTCTTTTTCCAAAGAACTTACCTCCACATTTCGATGGTAGTAGCAAAAAAATAGGAGAGTTTTGTAAGACCCAAATGTCATAACAGGAGCCTGGATGTCCGACAAATGTACTAATAAATTTTCTTTTTTCATCTAGGCAACCTGCAAAAGAACATATTTTTATATACATATATGCAGTGTTAATATATACATAAATCTTTACCTATAACTTTTGGAAAATTGCATGAGTTTCGGAAAAAGATACTTGCTTATTCCGTTTTTAATGTGTTGACCCATGCAATTATATCCGGACACATATTGCTAATGAATGTTATTTTTGTTTTTCTTTAAGATACTTTATTTAAATATGTACATCTTTAACTACACACTTTTAATTGCTTCCGGATATTGCAGTCGTTTTAGTAGTTCCAGCTGGCGTACTGCTCTCCTGGTCGCAGTTCAATAAATACGGCACTATTTTGAAATTTTACGACTAAAGAATTAAAAAGGCTTCGCAAAAGCTGAAACTCCATTCCCTTGGAAAGACAGTTTACTTGACAGTCTAGTGTGTTGTGTTGTGCTTAGTATTTACACAACGAATATTAGATATATTGCCAAAAAATATTGAAACGAATTGAATAAGCAAAATTGCAACTGAAATTACAAATATTCGCGCCGTGTGATCAGACTATAATGCCTTGTGAATTGGTTGTTAGTGAACCTGTTGAACACACCAAAAGAAGAAGAAGCATTATCAACTGTTGCAGATTTTTATTGATTTATTTCTGGAAATACAACCCTAACCGGCACAATACAATAAAAATAAACATCGAAACGTCATCAATTATTCCTTCTCATTATACATACCGTCCTACCGCAACAAGGTGCAGTTAAGTTGGTCAGAAGGGTTCATTGCAAAACTAAAATTGGGGCGGTGTTAGAATTTGAGTTAAACAGAAAAATAGATAGCAAAAGTTCGGAAATTGAAATAAAAACTGCGTAAAATGCGTCCGCGTTATTATTATTTACAAACGGTGAGTATAAAATAAAATTGCTGAACAAATTCTCTGAAGAAACATGTATACTGCAATGTATATAAATACAAATATTTTTTTGTCTTCATTACAAATTGTATATTCAACAAATTATAGTGTGTATGGATATTGGCGCTTTTACAAATTTACATTACAGCCTGTAAGGCTCAAGGATACATTCGTAAAAGCAGCATACGAGAAGATGTTCAGGATTTGAAAGATTTCAAGAAATTATTGCGCACAAGAACAAATGTGCTTGTGATGTTTATTTCCAACCCTAAGGAAGCTGCAGTGCCGTTAAGAATATTTCGCGATGCCGCAGAAGTTGTACGTGGTACCGGAACTACGGTGCTACTAGATTGTTCGCTACAGGGACGGAGGAAGCTGTGTAAACATTTGAAAGCGATAACGAAACCGTATTGTATGAAGCACTATAAAGACGGCAGTTTTCATAAGGACTATACACGTCAAATGGCCGTTAGCTCCATATATAATTTTATGCGTGATCCAACTGGAGATTTGCCGTGGGAAGAAGAAGCTATTGGTAAAGATGTGGTGCACTTCACAGATTACCAAAGTTTTAAAAAACATTTAACCAAAGACACGCGGCCAATGCTGCTTATGTTTCATGTGCCATGGTGTAGTTTCTGTAAACGAATCAAAGGAGATTTTTCTAGGGCGGCAACAGAACTTAAGAGCGGAGGTTTTGTACTGGCTGGTATGGATGTTGAACGCACTGAAAATGCACCTGCACGGAAGGCTTTTAATATTACCGGTAAGTGAGATAATGCATTTTTTTAAAATCCAAATCTGAAATTTTTTATATATCAAAACAAATTTTTTTTGTGTATCTCGTAATCGTAGTCTCTTTTAAGTGTGTTGAACGGCACTTGGCTCCGGAGCCAAGTATTGATACGACCGTTTTTGGAATCACCTCCCCTCTCACACAATGAAAACCTAAACACATCCTGACCCATTCATTCGTCTTGTATCAATCCTGACACAAGAATTAAATACGAAAAATTAAACCAATAGATATTAATCGTGGGGAATTTATTTCCAGTAATTATTTTAATCTCTTCTTATAATTTCAAAAATATTTTATTATCACAGGAAAAAACATTTTTATAAATGATATAGTTATAATATATATAATATTCTATTGTATACGTCGAATTGATAGGTTATTATTTCATTCTATAGGTTTTCCGATGATGTTGTATTTCGAGAAAAGCGTACCAAAGAAATTATTTGATGGGGAGCCTAATAAAGATGGTTTTATAGCATTTATGAAAGATCCTAATGCAGGACCTACGTCCAAACTTAAAGAATCAGATTGGTCTGAGGATACGGAATCTGAAATTGTACATCTCACAACGCAAAGTTTTGAACCAGCAATCAAGGATGAAGAGTCTGTGCTTATTATGTTTTATGCACCTTGGTGTGGTCATTGTAAGCAGATGAAACCAGAATATGAGAAAGCTGCTACGACTCTGAAAGATCGTGAAATACCTTGCATATTAGCAGCACTTGATGCAAGCAAGGATACTACTATAAGTGAGAAGTTTCACGTGAAAGGCTTTCCAACATTAAAATATTTCGTCAGAGGCGAATATAAGTTTGATATAACATTTCGTGAAGCTGATAAAATAGTCGAATTTATGCTTGATCCAAAAGAACCACCAGTACCAACAACGCCACCGCCAGAAACGCCCTGGGAAGAAGAGGAACCTACCAATGTAGTCTATTTAAATGAAGAAAATTTCATACCAGTACTGAAACGTAAAAAGCACGCACTTGTTATGTTCTATGCACCATGTACGTATTGATGTACTGTTCTCTACATGCTAATTCTAATTTCTTTTCTATATACAGGGTGCGGTCATTGTAAAAGCACTAAGCCGGAATTTATTGCCGCCGCGGCAGCTTTGGCTAGCGAGCAAAATACTGTTTTTTGTGCAGTTGATTGTACGCGGTATCCTAAACTATGTACTATTCATGCAGTGCGTGGTTATCCTACTCTTAAATATTTTTCATATTTCAAACAGGAGGTTGAATATACTGGTGGACGACATCGGTCCAATTTAATTGCATTTGTTACTAATTCAAATATTAGTAGCGTCACTACTCCGGTTAAAGTTCAAAAACAAAGGGTTTATAGTGACGAATTGTAATCTGAATAATAACAATTTCTGGATAATTACCTGATCGTAATATTTTCTAATTTAGGTAGAAAAAAAATTATTAATCAAACTAAACATTTTTCTAGCATTATTGTAATGGATAGTTTATCTCAATGAACAAAATGAAGTATTCAAATTTTTTATTAATTTTGTATTGTTCCTTAAAATATAAGCTGTAGTTTAAAAATATAGATCTTGATGTGTATAAATCTTACAATGAATTAAGATTTCATTTTGTAATATTTTTTTTAAATATGTAAATTATTCCAATATTTTGTAATTATTAATATAACTAAATTAATAAGTATAAAACGGAATGACATTATCTATTAAATATTTGATTAATTTTCGTGTTTAAAATTGATTGTAAGTTAAAAATATATTGTATTATTAGTGATAATTTATAATTATAATTTTTCTACTAATGTATTAACGATAGAACACAACTCGAAATTAAAAGAAAAAATTGATAGAATTTTCTTTTCCGTAACAGACTTCATTATTCTTCATTGAAATATTTTTTATAGCTTTAATAATAATGAAATCTGAATCAATACTCTATATTTATATGTATAATTCTATCTTCATATTAAGATTTTACTTTATTTTTTATAAAACTTGTAAATTTTTCGAATATGTTATAACTGTGAAATTAATAAAATTAATAAGTGTGAAATGAAATGATATTATTTAATAAATATATGTTGTATTTTTATGTGTAAAATAGAATGCATTTTAATCGTATGTAATGAACTATAATTTATTAATAGGATTTTTTGAAGAATGCCTTGCATAGATGATATAACGCCGATCAATAACACAAACATTAGGTCCTCTCAGTGTTTTTTTTTCTTTCGGAAAATAACGTAAATACATACATACAAACTCTTTCGTCAATGGTACCGTAGGAAGTAACTTTTGAAACAAGAGACTTAGAGAGATAAAAACCTGCATTGCTTGCGGTTTATGGTTTCTCGCAGCCGAAGTGACAAGTGCTTGAGACCAAACACTATTTTACATTGGAATCGCGAACCCATTTGCAATTGCTTTCTGGCTGCGTATAGACTCAGTGGCAACATCTGCTTTAACATCACATTGTTTGCATATCAAGTACATAACGTTGCAGACCACATAATGAAAACTACTTCGTAGTGTGTGTACTACAACGAATGTATATATGTGATTACCAGCTTAGGAGCACACAATTGATATCATATTTCAATTTCAGAGATTTTGTTATAATAAAAATAGTATGAAATGTTTAGGTGTGTTTTGTGACCAGTGTTAGTAGAGGTGAGATTCAGTTGTTTGTCTAAGAAGACGACCAACAATTGTCCTGCGTCAATTCTCAATGTGTGCCCCCCATTACGATGAATTTCCTAATGTACACACCAACTTATGTCTAGCTGATCGTTGACTCCGTGCTATTGAAGTGGCTAGGTTTCTCCATCTTGTTCCAGGTTGACTTCAATTGAAATTCCAATCTCAAATTCCATTCTTGTTCCTGAAGAATCACCTCACCTCTCACACTTCTTTTACCGAACGACGTATTTGTGATGTATTTGCAATTTCTTTCATGTTATCTGCTCTATAGATTTCTACGGGTTACAACAAGAACAGTAGCTACATCACATAAACTCAGCTAGAACTATCGTATTATGTTAGCTTCAAACCTTAGAATATGAGGTTACAGGCTAATATGATAATTACCTAAGTTGTCTTTAAGTGTGTTGCCTTTGAGAGTGTTCAAGGATAGTGTCCACATTGCAAAATAAAATAACAAAATGCAGCTACGGTGCTATGCAAGATATAGACGTTTACAGATTCAAAACTTCTACGAAAACTTTCAGTGAAGCCACTATATTCATTTGTTCGTAATGTGATTAAAAATTGCAATAAATTCAAACCCATCAGTTTTAAGGTACATCCCTATATGTTTAATACGTTCTCGGCGATAGATTACACCGTTTTCAAGAGGATTGTTAGAAGGGTTAGATTTTTTATATTTAAAAATACCATTATTGTTAGTGTTTTCAATAATATTATTTTTTGAGTGTTCCTTTGGTTGGATTCAGTTTTTAATAATTTTATAGGTTATTAAAATAGTACTAATCTAATATATATTTTTTGAATGAATTTTAGCACTTAGTTAACTCATCTACTTAGCTAGTTCATTCCTTTAGCTAGCTCATTCTTTCAACTGGCTTATTCCTTTAGCTATCTCATCCCTTTCGCATTCGTTGCATGTTTTTTGTCGCACTGTAGCTGTTTCAATAATAGTTACCTTTTCACAAACTTGTGGTCTATCAGTACTTTACTGTAAGAAAATGGTTCTGATCATGATAGTTCGCTGTATTTGATGGTTATATAGATCCCAAATGGATGACAGTTTTGATATAAAAAATGATTGCAAAACTTTAGTTAAATTTTATTAATTTCTATTGACAAAAATGGCCTTAACAAGGTTCGCGCATAACGATTTATGTACATATATGTACATATATCCAATGAATTGTGTTTTCAGAACAAAAAGTAGTGCAGTGGAAATAAAGTGTTTCTATGTTATTGGAGATGCATACTGTTCTTTACCCCTAGCCAATAACATCTTGTCCAAATTTTTCAAGCGCATTTAAGCAGATTGTTCATGGAAAAATTGATAAATATGAATACACCAGTACCAATACAAAAAAATGAGAATATGAAGATCTATATTATTTATCATCTTACTTTTAGTTCCAGGTACTTAATCTACGATGCATCTTAAATTCGCTTTAAAAATAAATGCTAAGTTGTAGTATTGTAAAAATATCAAAAGCAACATGAAACTGCTTGGTGATGTAACGCTAATGTACAGGGTTGTTAGGGGTTTCCACTATCACATACAGCGGCTCTCAGCTTATTTCATCCAACACTGTTTTAAATTTTAAAACATTGTATCTTAAAAATGAATTAGAAAGTAATCAAGTTTTTAATGTGAGGAAAGGTAAGCTTATTGAAAATAATAAATTAAACAAAGTACATAAAATTTGTTTTTGTTTCGCTCAAATGGGAAAAACCCGATTCATTCTTTTTTCATAAATTGCACAATTGATTTTTGGATGTCGGACTCCTTCTGCTCACCTTCTTCTATAGATGTGCCCACAAATTCTCAATAGGATTTAAGTCTGGGCTTTGGGCAGGTGTGTTATATTTTTCCTACAGTTATATAACAACCAAGACATGCGTAAATGGGATTTGTATTTAGGGTCGTCTTCCTGATACATTTTAAATTTGAGCTTATTTAAGTTGTTTGGGTCAACAAAATTGAATTTATGTACACTTCTTTTAAGATCAGTTTTTAAATTGTCTAAATATAATTGTTTATCTAAAATTTTTTCGAAAACTCTTATATCACGGCTTTGCTTGATGTACACCCTCACACCATAACTGACAATTTGCCAAATTGTACTATTGGAAAAATATTTTTGTCTTCCAGTACGGTTTTCTCCAAACTCTGGTGGGACCATCGTGACAATATAACATTATTTTAATTTCATCACAAAAAACTACATCGTCCCAGTACGTTATTGGCAGAGCAATATGCTGAGTAGGAAACGAAAGACTTTTCGAAATATTTTGTGCAGACAGGAGGGTTTTTTTTTGCCAGCTCTACACGAATACTTATTTCTTAAATTAACTCTTCGAACATTATCATGTGAGACGTTCACACTACACTCGTTTTTAGGTCTGACGCAATCTTTCTGGTGCTTATAAAGGGATTTTCATCAATGGCCTTCATTATTTTCATATGATATAATACACCGTTCAACATTTTCGAAATTTCTTTGACGGACTTTCCATTGTGGTAATGGTAGTACACTAGCTAAATAATATTTTCATTTATGTTTTTTCGACCTATATTTAATAATAGGCCTTTTCGGTGGCTCGCAAGTATGGCAAAAAACAGTAAGTTGCTGGCCCATGCTGGCCTATACTGGCCGAAATGTATCAAAACAACAACACTGTTTTCTCTACCTCGGCCAGTATAGGTATACTAGCCACACACATCGGCCAGTAAAAAAACAGTTACCAATGCATAAGCGAACTATTGTGAACCTTCATTGGAAATTCCAACGAATATTGCAATCATATGTCAAAAATTATATGTAAATAAAAATTCAAACAGAATTCAAAAATTTCATAAATTTGAAAATTGGAAAAAAAGAAAAATTTCAGAATTTTTATTTTCAATTTTGGTTAATTATTTATTTGTATACAAAATGTAATTTGCTTGCATTATGTTATTTTTGCTATTTGTCAAAACATAACAGTTGACAAATTGCAACAGTGATGCCAATGACTCGCTTAGCCAATATAGGCCAACATGCATTGTTTGGAATACTTGCGAGCCACCGAAAAGGCCTAATACTATTTTTTTAACAAAATAATAATAACTGCATAACATAATGAACTCTATTAGTTTACTATTCTCCAAATTAAATGCAGTCAAACTTCCATTGCTTGAATTTTCTATAACTTGAACTAAAACGAGTGCAATAAGCTTCTAGAGAGGAAATTACATACAATTCTGCTTCCATAACTCGAATAAAAATATTGTCACGTGCCAATAGGAATATGGGAAAGTGCACTCTATAAGTCAAATTTTTGTTTTAAGTATGAATATATTTTGGTGTTAGGGGAAGTCCCTTTTTCAAATCAAACGATAAATTTTTTTTTCTTATATTGCTTATTTGTGCAAATACCAGTCGCTGGCAGCGTGATTTAAATAAATAAAAATAAATAAAAAGTAAATAAAATAACTTCCAATGGTTCTCTTAACGATTATATTCAGCTTGACAATGAAATTTGTACATCAAGCATTCCTACAGATGACGATATCATTGAGCATTATATTTCTGAATTAGTGGATCCGATTTTAAGCAGAACGGAAAGTATTGCTGAGGGTTCGGTAGATGTAAATGTTTATCAGCTTTTCAAGAATGAAGTGGAATACTCATTTAAAATTCTGAAGTTTTATTTACAATCGAATGATACTCCCACTGCTGATCACTATATAATATATAGTAAATAAATTAGAATTGCAATAAATTAGAATCTTTTTTTACTTTTTTTACTTTTATAAGAATAATATTCAATAAAAGTATTGAAATTTAACAATTAAAATAAAAATATAATTAATCAATTAATTCAATTATTCTAAAGCCGGTTCATGATTTCGTTATAATATAAACACAGCAAGTAAAATTGTTAATAAAAACTTTCATAGCACAATAACAAAAACTCCAGAAAAATATGCGAACAAAAAAGTCAAGTACGGCATAACAAGTCAAGTATGGAATTACAAAAACAACTGCCTTGTATGAAAAATACATTTCATATTTTCGTTTTAAACATATTCGGCAGCCAGTGCCAGTTATTTATGATTTTTATATTTATAACGCAAAAATAATAGTTATTTGTGCGTTTTTAAATAAAAAGCAGAAAAATAAAAGGCACAGAAAATAATTATTTTTGAGGAATATAATATAACATAAAGCAAATTTAACTATTATTTTTTGAGTTTTATTTTAAAATGCTAATATATAAAAAGCATCCATAATATAAAGAATTAAAGTTGTTAGAATGATAATTATATACATACTTAAATATGAGTTCCGACAACTTTTTGTTGCTACTTTTTTTCATAAAAAATATTGAAGTAACTGTTATTTTCGGTCCCTGGTTCTATGTACAAACTCTTTTGTTTGAAAAAAGTTAGTTTGGTGTTATAAGAAGTATGTGAAAAGATGTGTTTATTCCATATTGATCTTCTTGAATTAGTGCTATTACGCACTTTCACTCTATAATGGCTGGGGGGCTTATCTCTACCCCACACTAGGCTTTAACTAGGCTAAGAAATCGTATCATTTATTTGTCTTTTCATATCATTTCATATCAGCACATCTTCCTGAGAGTCCAGAAGTGGACTTGAGGATTGCTAGGCCGAGGTTAAGTAGCGTATTAACTTTAGTGAATAGTTTTAGAGCTCTGTCTCTGATATATTTTTTCACTGAGTCAATCCTAAGATCTCTATGTATGTCTGTTGATCTAATATACCATGGAATCTTAAACAGTCTTCTTAAAGCCAGGTTTTGAGCAATCTGTAATTGCTTTAAGGTAGTATTTGAGGCTTTGCTATATGTAACACATCCGTACAGTAATGCGTGATATAATATTAAACTTATATAAATATATATTAATAACTTAATTTATTTAATGTTATTTAGTTAATGAATTGCTAAATATTATATAGTGAATATATTGTTGCCTAATGTAATATAGTTGTTATTAATAAAACATCTCATCTATTTCAATTTATTTCATGTAAAAACAAATTGTAGAAGGACCGCAAACCCGTCCAAATAGGGCACGCGTCGTCACTGCAATGGATGTGCGCATTTTTCACACTTAATCACCAGTAGATGATTCAATGTCAGTCAATTTTTATCTGGTCAGATGCTGAGTCCGATCCAAACGTAGTGTTATTAAAAATATTATAATTATTTTGTTTCAGAGAGTGCGCTTAAAACAGGTGTGCGTAAGTTGTGTTTTTAATTTATAATTAAGTTAAATGCATCAATTCCAATACTATAATACAGTGACAGGTCTGTTAAAGGGACAGCTCTCTTAACAGTGCATTCAGTTAAAATTTTCCATACAAAATACATACTTTAAAAAGGGCAAAATTGCTTTTTTCGTTAGTATACGTTCAAAAGAGCTTTTATTGTCTGAAAATGCGATTAAGCACTACCTTTCTGTGAATCTATTATTACTATCTTATATGGCATTCTAATATTATCCGAATATTGGTAGCAACTTAGAAAATTGTTGTAAAATGTTTAACTCCATCTATGTGAACTACAAGCATTGTTAAATGTTTGTTCCGATTCAGCAAGTACAATACTTTGTCTTGACAATAGGGTAATAGTACTTTATGGTATACTGATAGTGTCAAAGTAGGAAGTGACCACAGTATTATACGATATATATATATATATACACTTTATACGATTTCTAAATTCTAAATGATATAACAGTCGATGATGAGATATAATTTTATCTTTGTTTGTTAAAGTTCCATATTCTGTATTAAAATTAACAACAGACAAGTGTTTTTTATGAAATGGTAAGAAACAAAATTTACACAATATTTTACAATTCCGAAGGACGTTATCCACTCCAACATACACTAATGATCGCTACACCTTCAAAGAGATTATTTGCAAACACTATAGCGCGCTCCACACACACAAACACATGATTTTTTTGCAACACAACACAAATATTTTTATTCTTTTGTTTTATTTTCTTCATCCGATTTTTACTATAAAATTTTACAAAAATATTGCAATAAAAACGTGCAGATGAAGTTGTTGTTGCTTTTGTTTTTTAATTGTAGTTCATCCTATTGTTGCTCGTTTAAATACTAACCAACTTAACGTTTACCTCCAACGCGTGGCGCTGATTTTTGCGTCACTTTGGCGGCCTTTTGTTTTGGTGGTGCCTTCTGTTTCACTGTTGGGGGTTGTGTGGCTTTCTTCGCAGCTTTAGCGGCGCGCTTTTGTTCCTTAGCTATTTTGATAGCTTGATCGCGTTGAGCCTTGCGCACTTCTGGTTTCATATTACGCTTAGCCATAATTTCGGCTAAGGATGCACCGACAATAGCACGGGTGAATTTTTGTGTTCTACGAGTACGCTTCTTTTGAGCTTCCTCCTCAACACCTTTACGGTGCTTGCGGCGGTACAATACGGTCCATGTAACTTTACGCGGATTGCGCTTCATCAAGAATGAACGTTCGCATTTTTTATCGAGGAAAGTGAAAGTCTGTAAAATAATTTATATATCATTTTAATTGTTGCGCTTTGCCGATGTATATAAAAGAACTTACCTTTCCGTCGATTTTGACCATGGTCTTGCCATGACCGGGGTAGATTTTGTAACCACTGAATGAACACAGACCGATCCTATAAACAAACATATATAACATTTAACACCTTGTTGCAAATTGTAAAATTTTTTTAAAAGCAACATCTTAGCATAACAAATTTAAATATTTTATTAATAAACTTTTGTTTATGCAGCGGATGTTTATTATTTTTATGAATTAAAATTGTATATTTTGCAGAAATACGTACTTCATCTTGTCGTTGTTGACAGTAGAAAGGAAAAGAATTTGACAAGGTAGCAGAAACCTTGCTATCTTACTCTGGCGGTGAATGGCATAAGCAGAACTGTCAAACTCAATGTTGTATTTTTTTCAATAACAATATTTATAATTAAGAACAACAGCAATGTCATTTAAATTAAGTATTTATGTAGATTCTGTATTTGACAACAATTATGTTACATAAGTTAAATAATTTGCAAAAATAAAATGATATTATATTTAAACAATAATAATAATAACTAAGAACGACATATGTTATATAAATTAAGTATTTATGTGGATCCTGTATTCGATAATAATTATTTATATTAAATTAAATAAAGTTGCAGAAGCTAATTAATTTGAACTAAAAAGAGGTTTGTAATAATATTGTTGAAACAGATAAATTGGTCAATAGATAAATAATACAGTTTTTTAAAAATTAATTTTTAAAAATTTTTTTATTTTCACCAATATTTCGACTGTAGAGACAAAAACAAAATTATTATTAAAAATTTTGGTCATTAAAATAATAAATTATTAAAAAAACGTTATTACAATTATAATTATTATTTTTAATAAAAAATATAATAAAATTATAATATATTATAATAATAAATAAAACTATAAAATAAAATTATATAAATTATAAAATTATAATAATAATAAAAATAATTGATATTATTTAAATAACGAATTTACACAAATTTTTTATTTGATAACATTTATTAATATTATTTTAAATAAAGCTGCATTAGCTTATTAATTTAAAAAAAAAAACAATTCGATTTTCATATATTATTCCGTTATTCATTATTATTACTACTAGATATATTTTATGATGATTGCAGTTTTTTAGGTGTTGCGATTTAACAACCGTTCTGAGTAAAATTGGCTATACTGACCTGGTTTTACTATTTTTACACTATTTTGGATGCAAGAGAATAAGTTTGTAATGAAATTATAATAAAGTAACTCTTGATATGTTGTATGTATCACTGAAGATTTTATTAAGTAAATGTGATGACAAATATATGATAACAAATTAATATTACATTATTAATAAATTTTATACAAAAGAGTTCAAAATAACAATAATAATTTTGAGTTGTATTTATTTATAACATTTGTCTATGCGAAGACACACAATTTAGCTTAATAATTTCGATAAGAAAAAAATTAAAATAGCCCTAACAAAGGGCACCTACATAGTTTTTACAACAACTTTATATATTCAAATTTATTAAACTCAAATTTCTTTATAATTAGATATGCAAAAACCAAATTTTTTTATTTCAATTTGCTTTTACACATTTAGTTTTCTACTTATTTTTTTAATCGATTGTGATTCCTTCTCTATGTTTGTACTAAAATTTCATTGTGCAAAGAATAACGATATTTTCATACATAGTTTTTAGAAATCTATAAACGAAATTTCTTACTCCTTAAAAATGTTTATGATCTTTACAGCAATACTCTAAAATATGATAAAGACTTTTTTACAGTTAAATATCGAAAAACTGTAATCTTTATATAGACTAAAAACAGTTTAAAAATAAAAAAGTTTTTATCAAAAACCGTTTTAATGTTTAATGTTTAATGCGTGTAACGTTTCTAGTGAAAAACAAAATGAAAAATTTAATTAAATAAACACGCTAATGCCAATAAATGTTTAATAATATACATATATTTACATTTCTGGTAGCTGTTGGTATTTCTTTCAGAAGACTAATATATATATGACTAATAATTAAATTTATTATTAGTGTACACATTTTTCTGAAATTATATGTATTCAGGTTTTTATTAAAATTAAGTTCAAAATATTTTCAGAATGTGTTTGCAGAATGTATCAGCTTTTTTGTCTGTCCGTCCTTGATTTGATAATAAAAAAATAAGGAAGTACATTAAGACTGAAAAGTTTTCGGAAATTCTCATTTAAAATTCGCGCGCTGTATATTTTTCGATATTTTAAGTTTATGTAGTTTGGCAGCACTGTCCTTAATTACTATGCCAAAAATGAGCGCGATCTGTCAGACAGTTCGTTTACGGCAGCTGTTGAAACCAGTTCACCTCAGTAGTGCGTTGCGAAATGTCTTCGACGGTCGTACGAACGTCCTGAAAGGCTTTGTAAAACTCATAAACTTGAGTTTTCGATAAAACTGATTCCCCATAAGCCTTTTGTAGCATTCGCAACGATTCTGCACACGAAATTTCGTTCGAAACACAAAATTTGATGCAAACTCTTTGTTCAATATTTTTTTCCATTGTTTTTTTTCGCAACGCACTACTGAGGTGAACTGGTTTCAACAGCTGCCGTAAACGAACTGTCTGACAGATCGCGCTCATTTTTGGCATAGTAATTGGCCTTAATTGCTGCCAAACTACATAAACTTAAAATATCGAAAAATATACAGCGCGCGAATTTTAAATGAGAATTTCCGAAAACTTTTCGGTCTTAATGTATATTTATGCTTTCACATTACTTAAAACATGCAATTTATTTTTATATATATAGATTTTTTATGATTGACATTGACAGAATTAAAAACCATTTCTATACACTATAAGAATATTTTAATACAAAACTAATAACATACTAATTTTTGAATTATGTGATGTACTTATTTGCAATACCAGCTCGTACGATTAGCATATTGAATATTGAATAAATTGTGATTTTCTTTCAAACCACGAAAAAAACTCACATAATAAGAGAAAACACTACATACAAAATTCTTTTAAAGAAAATTATCAAAAATTATAAGGAATTTAAGGTCTGTTCAATGAGTTTTGTGTTTAAAATAGGAATAAATGTTTTTAAAATTTGTGTTTTCAATTTTTTATTCATATTATACCCATTACTATATATGTATGTATACCCATATTCAACCCTGGGTACCCATTCAAGCTGTATAACATCGATGTTTTTGACCAAGACTTTTGCCCTTCTATCCAAATTAAAACTTTTTCCATTGTATAGTCTGCTCCAGGTATTGTCTAACTATTGCCGAGATTGGTAATCACCTTCGCGACCTTAGCGTTCTCTCAATTTTTATGTGACCATCAATTAATACCATTATTCTATATCATGTATTCTTCTCATGTGCTGCAGTTTGTGGCTGTTCATAACTGTATTCATTAAATAAATTGGAGTGGTAATTTTTTTAAATAATTATCTCTTTTATAACGAATATAATGACACAGATTCCAAACAGACTTCACCCAAACTAATCACAGAAAGGTCTAATAATAATCATGTAGAAAATATCAGAAAACGCTTACATTCCATCGTAAATTATATCCTACGTCGAAAGCTCATTCAGAGATGTCTAGCAGTTAAGAACTGTCCTGCTTGTAAATTATAGTAAACTCAAGAACTTTAAAGCAGCTTATTTGTCTGATAGTATGTGGGAAGTATTTCTATTCAATACATTATCGTTTCCCTAATAGCAATCACCTCCGCCAGAAAAAGCCGTCAGTATATATGATTAGATGCTCTCTTAACCGTGGATCTATTGACAGCTAAGTTTAAGACAGATATAGTCAATGTTTCTTAGAGTAGACTGTAGGGATTTAGAATGGAGCTATGTCTCTTTTATTTTTTTCTCGATAATTTTTAATACAATGCATTATGATTGCCATATTCTGAGAAAAGAAGGATCAAATTCTATTAAGATTGTAAATGATATTTATATAAAAGTGAATGTATTTCGTAAGGGTTGTGCATTGGTAGAGACCTGTAATCCTATTACAGCCCAAAATTGTTTGTATTATAATTTGAAGCCATTACACTTCATTACAGATGCTACACCTCAAAGCTTCTGAGAAGATATCAATACTACGTTTGCTTTAACGGCTTATCTTGTTTTACCAATGTTACTTGCCAACGTTTTTCCATTGTTGTTGGTATTTCAAAATTTTATTTATTAAGCTCTAAAAACATTTATTAAAGTTTCTTTCACGAGCTAATTTTTGCTAATCAGAAAACGTAAGAGCACTTTGAATCCAACTTCCCACTTGTTATGCGCTGGAGTTGCTTGTATACAGGAGATACGATTTTTTGTGGGGGTGTGAAAGATAAATGGTCGTTTTTATTTAATTTTCAAAAAAGTTTATGCAGTGCCTTACTTACTGCTCATGCGTCGATTTGGCGAGTCCTGCAAAATGTCAAAAGGCTGCATTCCCTTTGACGTCAGTAAGTAAAAACAAATCCTTGCATCTGTTACAAGAACGAACAAGTAGGAACACAGTCAAAACTTTTCAATATCATTTTAACTTGATTTTGTGAATTAAAAATCGGAGAAATAATGAAGCTCACTTTGAAACGCTACTCCTTTCTGTTATGTTTTCAATTTTCCTTTTTATTGGCGGATCTATTTTTCAACACATTCGCTTCATTTATGTTACGCGAAAAACTCCCATTGACTACCTTGATGTTTGTGTAAGTAAAATCTATAGCTCTATGGTGATGACCTGGAAGAATTGATTGTTATTTCTTACGTATTTTAGTACACAAGACGTCTTTATTATTTGCGAGTATTTATTCTTTACATACGCTGTGCACTCGACCTGTGTTTATAAGGTAATTAATAAGTTATTTATAGAGATTTGATTTACGTGTAAATATATATATTTATTCCAGGTTGGAGCTTCGCACATCATCCTGAGAAATTGTAAATTTTTCCTATTTACCATTTTAACATATTTTTTGCTATCAGCTTCTCAACATTTTTGGATCATTTACAACACAGTGTGGCAACCAACCGCAGAATGGCCTAGTACATTGACAGCTTTGGTTTTTATGCAAAGAATAGGTATGTTCAAATTTGAATAATAAAAATTTATTTTTATAAACGTAAGACTCTTCACTCATACAATCCCATATCATGGCCCTGTTTGGAGCTCTTATCTCTTATAGCGTTCGTCTCTATTCATCATGAGCTTAAAATTGAGTTCTCCAATATCTCACTCCTTACTCTTCTCCGTCAATCCCTTTAATGTATTTGAAGTATGATTGAGGTGTGCCATGGCTTGCTTTTCTTCTTCTTCTTTGCTTAATGAAACGCGAGTTTGTGTCTACATCATTTTTATACAATAATGTCTGTGACCAGTTGGGTATTTTTCTGATAATAAGTTATTCAGTTGAATTTATAGAAGTATGGTTTAAGTATAGCCCAGCATATCTTCCTGGGGAAATACATATTGCATTTGATTTAAAAGAGTGCAATTCCGAATTATTGTGAGCAGAATTAAAAATATTTCAGCGCTCTGTCCTTGATATACTTTTGCAAACCCTCGACTCATAAATATTTGTGTATATCTTCATTTCTGACATATCATGCAGTTCTTAATATAGGCATGTCTCAGTACAATACTCTAATAAAGATTTCTAATGGTGGAAGGAGCAGCTTTTCCATAAGTAGCACAGCCATAAAGTCATTAAGATCTAATTACTTGCCTATAAAGCATAGTTACAAGATAGTTTTTTGATTGTTATATTCTCTAGGCAAGTATATCTTCTGTCCAATGTTAGACAGAAATCGCGGCTAACTGTAGAAATCCTAACGTGAAGTGTTTTGGGGAATAAATTTCATTGACTCGAATTATATCTTGTGTCCATCTTAAAAGATATCCTTAAGATGTGTCCGAAATGTGTACTATTTGTATGCTTTTACTTTCACATCGCTCTAGGATTTTATGGTTATGGGTGTTGATACGATGTTGATGCAGTATTTTTTTAGCCTTTTTTGTGATACGCACCACTTTAGGCTTTAAAAAAATTAATATGTTCTTCGCATCCCCCTGTGTAATATATAAGAGGAGCATTTGGAAGAGGTGAACAGATCAGTCCAGCAGTACCTCTTTTCTAACGACTATCGATTTTTTTTTTTTGGAAAAATACCTAAGTGACCTGACATGTACTTTCAATTGCAACACTTAATACAAGTTTCGCAACTACGACTGTGTTCTTCACAGTCTTTGCAAAGGACCATTTCCACAATATCACAATCACTTTTGTTTTAAATTTAACAGAGTCTAGACCCAAATCTTATTTGCGCACCTTAATAATTAAATTGCCCTATTTCAGATTAAACACAGTATTAAAAAGTTATTTTTGTCCGATCTAGTATTTATAGACCGATATAAATTTTTTGCCTATTTCGTAGTTCGAAATGTTTTGTGTGTTGATATAAGGGATTTTTATCCTCTTATCCGAGTTTCGTGTCCTTTAAATGTGGAAGTCATTCTACAAAGTGCTAATCGAAAGTGTGAATGGGTTGAGTTTAGGATTAGTGCTTTAAGGACATTTTTTTAAGTAGATAAATTATATATATATATAGATTTATACATATTTTACTTGTATTTATATATAATATATAATTTATATATTATATATATACTACTTATATTTTACAAGCGGTTTATGCAGTCTGTTTTTTCCGTTTGTTTTCCTTTCATTTTGTGCTACCAAATATATATGTATGTTGAAAATTCCAATATGCACAATTTATTTTAGGATTGTCCTAGTAGAAGTATGGAAACATCGAATAGAAACCCATGCATTCCTGTAGATAATTACAATCAATTTTGTGCGCATATTTAGAGTGTTAAGCACCTTTTTTAATTAAAAGTTTTTTTCAATTTAATCGCAATTAACTTTTTGCAAAAGCGTACTATTTTAAAGAAATATATAACACCTTAATCCCATCATAGTCCCTTCATGAAATCCCTTAGCTCTACTTCAGCAATAAACTGCCTTTTCATTTTCATCTTCAATTCCCAGTTTAGCTCGAAATCAATAGAATATATACACCCAGTGCCAACAGGAAAAGCTGCTCTTCTTAAAATCATGAAGTTTTGACATATCTATGTAAGAGTTGTCCCAAATGCCATTCTATGCATCAAATTCTTTTTTTGGGAATCCTTTTACATGTTTTGCACTTAGTTTTTGCATTAGACATAACAGTTGGTAAAATTACATTGAACAGAGTTTCTTTATTGGAGGCACAATAAAAAGCATGTCCAAACGAAAACAGCTAACCGTTAAGGAAAAAGCAAATTTATTGCACTAGCTGAACGAGATGAGTCCATTCGCAAAATAGCAGCTCAAACCCATTTCAATGACAGCTCAGTGCGTCGATTTTTGAAAAAATATCGTGAAGCGGAAGAGGTAGAGAGGAAAGAAGGATCGAGGAAGACAAAATGCACCACTGCATGAGCAGATCGTATGATTCTGACTGCAGTTTTGTCTAGCGTTGAATCCATAACTGAGCTAGATGAAGACGCGATTTTTTAGGACGATTCTACACACTGCCATCGATCGCGTGTTGCGAGTAATTTGTTGACTTCAATAAATATGAATATTTTTAAACGATATATTACCATTTTGAAGGACCAATTGGGCATTAGATCATTAGATAGGCCAGCAAACAGCCCTCCTCTTCAACCTCTCCTGGTGAAGTTAAGAGAAACAATAGAAAATGTATAGTTCGAAGACATTACAGACGAATATTTAAAGGCTGTTTATAATTCGATGTCCAATTGGTTAAAATGTGTAATCAGGGCTAAACGTGGTACTGTCAAGTACTAATTTAAATTAATAATAGCAATATTACATTGCCATGCAAGACAATTTCGATCAGTTTATGATAAATGAAGTTTCTCGTTTTTATAATTAATATTAATTTTTTATTCAATTTTGCATATTATTAAAAATTCTGTGAAATAAATGTGATTCGGGGAAAAAAATCCTTCTAATTATATAACAGTTATAAAAAAAAATAGTATGCAATTTTGTTCAAAATTATTACATTAGCTTAAAAAAAATAAAATTAGACGAATCGAAAAATATTTGGAGAAACTCCAGGTAACAAAACTGAGAAGTGATTGAGTGTTTAGAGTGCGGCTTTTTTGTTAGCACTGGGTGTACCTGCTCACCTTGACCAAACTTATTCAGCTCATGTACATACAAATCAATGTTACCTGATGCAATTTGTGTTTTGATAGCTGTCAGCCAAGACAGCTATTCCTTGATAATTATCACACTAGCTACAGCGAGTGCTTAATATAGACCTAGTTACGTTATAAATTCCACAATATAGTATATAAAAGGAAAACTACATAAAATTTCAATTATTCTTTATAGTGTCCGTGTTTTACTATTATACTTCTAAACGAACAGCACTTTCTATGTCCGATCCACGTTACTCTGAAGACAACATCGACTGGATTGCTGAACAATTGAGTGACAAATAAGATGCCAGCTGCTGTCCCTAGTTGAGCTTTAAGCAAAAACAAACATGTCAATGGTGAGAGGCTGATATCGATAATGAATAATAAAAATATTGTTATTAAATTATTAAAAGTGTGATAGCGCTGGCAGTAAAAAAAAAATAAAAATGAATAAACAAAATTTTTAATACACTAAACTCTTCAAACTATTAATATATAAATCTGGATATGCTCTTTCCTTACCCCACAGACTTACAGTTTTCATAAAAATAAATAATATACTTCAAAGCACACACTATTTTGCAAAAAATGTATAATTTTGGTTATATACTAACAAATATCATGAAGAAAACATTATATATATATATATATATACATAGATATAAAACTTGAAAAAATTTATAATTTTTCAATCTTAAATATATATAGTAACATTTGTTAGTTATTGTCTATTACATTAACTGTTGAAACATTATATTAGAAATAGTAGAAATTATTGTTTAAATATTTCAAACATAGTTTATAATGTATTTCAATTATTAGAGTTATTCTCTAAATTATATATATAAGTGAAATTGCAATAAAAAAATTTAAAGTTAAAAACTGTATATTTACATTTAAAAAAGGAAAACAATAATAATAAACGGAATAATTTATTACTTCGTAATTATATAAGTAAAAAAGTGTTTGGATTTAGTCAAAATATTAAAGTATCGATTATTGAAATTTAGCAAATAGTTTACCTATTGTTCACAGACTTTGGATTTCGTATTAAAATTCTATCTATTTTATTTTTCTTATATATAAGCAAAGTGATTGTTTGCTTTTTCTTTTTAAATATATGCTTAAAGCTTCAATTTCTATCATATGTTTTCCACATTATGTACAATCTATTAAAATAACTTATATAGCATTAATTTTAGTGTATTAGTATATCTTCTTACGACACTTTACATATATTTCTCATTTCATCCACAAAACAATGGCACACCAAAAAGCAATTCCCACGATTGTCCTATCGCAGCCATACAAAATTCAGCATTTTCTTTTGTTTCAAATTTACATGTCCACAATTCGCACTTGTTTTGTGTTTCGTCTAGAAAATTAATAGAAAAAACATTTTCACCATGATACTCTATGTCCACCAAGTTGCTCATAAATTGTGAAATACATATTTTGACATCGAAATCGTCAAAATCGCCACTATTCGTCTGCAGTGATAGCCAACCAAAATTTTCTGATGTGATATAAAGTGTTGTGTCAGTGGTCAGAAGTGTACAGGTATTGAAGCTACGTTTAGCTTTATCCATGGTAACTTCACAAGAATTCAATATGGAGCACATTTTCAGTTTCTCACCCCTTACAGCAACATTAAGACGATTCGTAATCTCGTCTGCTGTTGGATATTTTAGTTCACATTGTGTTGGTAAAGCGTTATCTGTAAATTATTTATGAAAAAGTAATATTTTAATAAGTATAACGTTTTTGTTATCACTACTCGAACTTACTTTGAAAACACAATAGTAAACTGTCTATGCGTTGTATGTCCTGTAATAATAGCAGAAATCCACCAAAATCTCGTATGCGAAATGATAAACCAATCTTCCATGGCAGTAGTTGTATGCTTTCTAAGCGATCGACAGTTGCACTCAACACTTGTCTCAGCCATTTAGACACGTCATCATTTTCCGCTGCAAATGCTTCCATCACATAACACTTTATCGTTGTCATAACTACTAAACCATCAAATAATGTATGGGTATTTTCATTATATATACGTCCACGTGCTAGCCACTTGAAATGTTCACCACTTGCTTCGAATTTTGTTTGATAAAAATACAATTTCAACCGATGGTCCACATCATTGAAATCTGTGTAATTAAATTTAAACGGTCTTGTCGGGCTTGGTGGGGTTTCAACTGCACCAGATTGTATATTCGAAGTAGCTTCGATGTCTATTAATTTTTTAGAACTTGACATGAGTATGTTGGTTGATTGGAAGAGGGCTAAACAAAAAAGTAAAAACTGAAATATTAATTGAATTTATTGAAATAAAAATTGTTATTTTCTCTTTTCTATATGAATTATTTCGATTGTTGACGAATTTGAACATTTGGATCAAACACTTGAAAGATGAATAAGTTGAGTTATTTAAACAACAAATCTGTTCTATACTTTATATTATTTTTGTTTTTTTTTTATACAAATATATATAATAGCAAATGATCAAGCACTATATACTCGAGCATGAATATACGTAAACATTAAAATGCTCGAGTACAAAATGTTCGCCCTGGTTCCAAGTGTATCCTTTTCTCAATATAACGATATTCAAACAGTTTATGATGAATACGTCAACTAACATTATCTTTTTATTAAATAATATCTAAATAAATATATAATAATATTTTATATATATATATATATATTAGGGTGGCCGTAATATGTATGGGGCCAAAAAAATGTGTTCAAATTCTAGATGCCACCCCCTAAATTTATTCGAATACTTAAAAAACTACTAAATGTGAAGTTTTAGACTAATCGAATAATGTTTAGAGGTCGCTCATCGACCTTAAACTTCGGAAAAATGCCATTTTTTACTTTTTTCAAATTTTTTCGCTCCCATCAAGCGTATTTTTCACCTTTGCTTATTTGTACCAAATTAATATTATTCTTTAACATATTAGCTTTCAAATAAGGTAAAAATCAATCAATTTCGTCCACAATTAACTAAATTATCACTAAAATAAGAAATCATACTCGACGTTTATTGAAGCTTTCAAGAGCAGCATAAATATGGGAGTAAATACGAGTACGTATGAGCGCAAGCACAGTTTCTTGGACACAAAATGGTACAATATAATATTTGAAGACAATCAAATACTTTCTCACTATATATAATTGTCCACACTTGATTTGAATAATATGCACAAAATAGATTAATAAATACAATAAAAGGAAAGGAGTCCTTAAGTAATTTATTTAAAAAAAATATTAAATTTATTTATTATTTGACTTTTTAAAAGTCTTTCTATAATCTGTTATTACTTGCAATAAATATTGTTTATCTTGCTCATTTTTACCAAGGACTCTATTAAATTCTTCGAAAAGTTTTACTCTTCGCTCTACCGTATCATTAACAGGTCTTATACTGTGAACAACTTTTAACGCGTGTACATAATCTGTGTGTTGGTTCCATTTTTCTGGTTCTAGGTTCAAGAAATCTGTAGATATATTGAATCGCTAAAAAAAGTTAATGGTATATGCTGTCACAAAATCCTCTAGTGATTTCGATAAAAAATCGGTTACATTCTCCGTCTTCAAAAGAATTCGTTTTTCTCCGTCTTTTTTAATATCGTCCCCATTGTCGTGGCTTTCATTGTTATCACCACTATCTACTTCAACATTCATTGATATAATTTTTTTAACTTATCTGCCATTATTTTTTTAATTTTAATTGGAATGTTGTCATCAAAAAATGATAGACCAATGCATTCATCGGATAAATACCATAAATGGTTACACATCTTCTTAATAGCAGCCTCAGATATTGTCTTACCAATACATCTATAATTATACATATCTTTTATAAAACAAAAATCTTGGTAAGCTGCTTCTGATGCTATAACACATTTGAACCAATATTTTACGCAAACATGTATTATGAACAAACAGATTTCTTTTAGCTTTTGCTCTTCGAAAGATGACAATGTGAACTCATTTCGAAATAAATATATCTTTAAACAGTAAAGGGCTTTGGACATCCAACGAGCATGGTGCATTGGTTCAGGGTCACGGAATATTGGTAATGAACTTTCTCCCAAAGAGATGATAATTAGTTCCAATAGTTCTTTATAGTCATCTCTGCAAATTGATTTTTGTAGTTCTTTGTAACAAAAAGTTGTTATTTCATCCTTAACACCTAAGAGAATTTCTTTTGTTTACTTAAGGACTCCTTTCCTTTTATTGTATTTATTAATCTATTTTGTGCATATTATTCAAATCAAGTGTGGACAATTATATATAGTGAGAAAGTATTTGATTGTCTTCAAATATTATATTGTACCATTTTGTGTCCAAGAAACTGTGCTTGCGCTCATACGTACTCGTATTTACTCCCATATTTATGCTGCTCTTGAAAGCTTCAATAAACGTCGAGTATGATTTCTTATTTTAGTGATAATTTAGTTAATTGTGGACGAAATTGATTGATTTTTACCTTATTTGAAAGCTAATATGTTAAAGAATAATATTAATTTGGTACAAATAAGCAATGGTGAAAAATACGCGAGATGGGAGCGAAAAAATTTGAAAAAAGTAAAAAATGGCATTTTTCCGAAGTTTAAGGTCGATGAGCGACCTCTAAACATTATTCGATTAGTCTAAAACTTCACATTTAGTAGTTTTTTGAGTATTCGAATAAATTTAGGGGGTGGCATCTAGAATTTGAACACATTCGTAAATAACGGCCACACTAATATATATACATATAAAATATATGTAAAAAAAAATTTTACTTTATATAAGCATATATATTTACCACCAAACATAGACGATATGCCGGATTCTTCTTTTTTGGAAGTACCATTCGTTTCGTTAACCTTTTCATTATTATTATTGTTATTGTATTTACTAATATTGGTCGGTGCATGTTGTCCACTTTCTTCAGATAAAAAATTTTGTATTGAAGTTTTTTTTGGACTATTTTGTGTTGAAAGATCTGTTGCAATAGTTTTGTCAACTAATTGCTGCTGTTGTTCATATGCAGTGCATACACTATCTGTTACAGATCCCGACGAACTACTTTCAGTCAAATTGAAATGTCCTAAATGGCCAGTGACTGGTGATTTTGACTTTAATTTCGTTGATGGTTGTGATTTCTCATCATTACATTCTATATTTTTATTTCCAGCATCCACATTTTGTATTGATTCATTTTCCTTATGACTGTCATCAATTGTTTCAAGAATTGGTATTTGTAGCAAACGACGCTCTTCAGATGATTTACGACTAGCGTTGTTTGCTTGATCCAAAACTTCTATACTTGACTGACTTGGATTAGATATTATATCTACATCGCTTTCACAGTTTGATTTAAAATCATTTTCTCTGTCAGTGTTGGAGCTTCCAACAACGGATTGATTGGTATCGAAGGAGCTTTGAGAGTTTGTGATTTTGGAGCACGACGATGACTCATTTAATGAATTGGCAGAGCCTTTTAAAATAAAAATAAATAAAAAAATATTTTAAAAAGTTTTTGTACAATAAATACATTTGTAAAATAATTTTTTTAAGCAGGAGTAACATTGATCTTCATATCACTTTTTTTACTAGAAGAAATTTAATAATTTTGAAAGCATTAACAAGCATTTTAAATAGGTCTTTAATGTAAACTACGGGCCAAACTAACAGTAATGATCAATGCAACTCGTGATATTTGATTAAAATTTTATACAAAGACATGTGATATTAACTTTTTAAGGATTGCATCAAACTCCTACTTTTCTGTGCACTATGAGCAATAAGCCTTGATGGTCCTTTACCTTTGTACCACAATTTTTTTAATTTAAACAAAAAACAATTAAGATAAATGCACAAAACGGTTTGTTAGTTGTTTGTAGCGCATGCAAGTGAAAAAGAGAAAAAAATTAAACATTAAATATTATATTTAATTTATTTTTATATAAAAAACTTAAAATAATGTGAGAGTAAATGTAAATTTATATAAATATCTACAAATTTATATGCAGCATTATGAATATACATTTTCATTGATTTCATTATATTGTTTTTATATATTGATCATAAGATAATAATTTAATTAAAATGTATAGGCATATATATTTATAATTAAATTTATATTATTATCTGCGAGTTAATATAATATAGTATTCTCTTAGTAATAAAACTATCTTATGTATATTTATATTCATATCCATATTCATAATTATATTTATATTTATATTTATATTTATATTTATTTTTATTTTTATTTTTATTTTTATTTTTATTTTTATTTTTATTTTTATTTTTATTTTTATTTTTATTTTTATTTTTATTTTTATTTTTATTTTTACATATATTGAATTTATTTTATATTTATGTTGCATTTACATATCAAGTAATTTATATTTTATATATACATTGTATTATTAATATATTTATATTATATTTTGTTATACTTACATTTTATTTTTATTCTATTTACATTTACATTTGTATTTACTCACATATATTTTTATTATTTATATATATTATATTTATGTTATATTAATATTGAATCTTATTTTTCTTACATTTTATTTTTATTCTCGTATATATATTATATACATACATGCATAT